GATTCATTTTAGGATTCCGTAAATGTTCTATAAAGTCCCCATGTTTAACTGTTGTAGAGGAGAAACTTCAGGGCTACTGTAATTCAACATATTCAAGAAGTATAGTTTTAGTCAAATGTGGACTCTCAAAAGCTCTAAAGAACTTTTAGAAAATTTAAATAGCCATTTTTTTTCAACATAAAAACCAACATCAAAACGAGGCATGACTTTTCTACATTTCACAGTAGTAGTATTGGCGTATAAATTACATATATATATTTCCAAAATACCACAAGACACGATAAATTAAAGACCATGCTTCATGACATCATAGACAACTGCTTCTTCAATAAAATAGAACTCAGGAATTTTCATATCTTGTGAAAGGTCATGTACAAAATATTTTAATAAATATCACTCTGATTCTACACACAAGTACTCCGATGTGGATATTAAAATGATGCTGGAATTCCTCATCCACTATCTATGTAGTATTGGAGATCAGGTCTTCCAACAAATTGCTGGACGTCCGATGGACATTAATTGTGCAAATTTATTAGCACAATTATATTCTTATGAAGCAGAGTTTGTTTTAAAAAACTCTTGTCGTTGCCTTCAATTCGATATTTAGACATATCGACGACTTTTTATCAACAATAGTTATTTTCATTCATTAGATTCGATACGCTGTATCTCAGTAAACTTTACAAAAAAAAAAAAAACACCACAGAATCTGCCACATCTTTTTTCACATTTGGATGTTTGACTCTAGACGTTGGTCGATCAACAACTAAACTATATGACAAACGGGATGACTTAAGCTTTTCCATTGTTAACTTCCCCTATTTATCTACATGCAGTAACATTCACTATCATCTGGATATGTTATATCCCCCAACTGATTCGGTACGCAAAAACCTGTTCTGTGTACGATCAATTTTTAAACCAAGACAGGCTCCTGAAAAATAACAATGTTATAGAGCTTTCAACAATCTAATATGAATTCAGCATTTCGCAAATTCTATGGTCCTTATAATGTCCTTGATTTCAAATAAACCCCAGCGTTGTGTCGTATTTTGTTGTCTTCATGCTGTATCGTGTAAGAGGCATTACCTTTCTGCAAAGAGTATTACAATTAAGCAATTATTCTTTGTTAACTATTCCGCAAAAAGTTTGGGTTTCCTCTTTCATGTTCTCTTGAAAGAACGTTATGACTGCCCTTCTCACTCTCTTTCACCCGTTCTATTGAAGACAAAGTGACCTGATTTTGATGTGAGTTGTCTGCAGTTTTTGCAAAAGGTCCAATACTGGGTTGCAGCGAAAAGAAGCGAGAAATAAACTGTGAATAAAACAGTTTTAGTCCTTTTGTTCTTTTTGCCTCAATGTCTGGAGTTGAATCAATGGCAACACCGTCTGCAAAATCAATGCATCTATCGTTTCATGGCAGTTCCGCTATGAAGTCTTCGACGAAAGAGCCTTCAACTTCTAGTTATAATGTTGTAAATTTTGTATTTAGTGCCACCCAGTAAATTCAAAATTTACAACATGACATTCTTCTGAATGTCAATCTAAAGATGATTTTACCCTAGTATTCTTTGCTTAGTCTTCCGCTACCAGCTCTGTCCATTGTGAAACAGCAGCTACATGTAATTGTTGAAAACATTTTGCGGAAACATAAGAAATCCTTTTGCAGAAATGTAAAATAGATTTTTTCCCCAATATTTTGCAGAAATGTATTTGTAAATACATTCGTTTTCATGCTGAGGCATTTTTTTTTCTTTTTTGGTTTGTTTGTTTTTTTGTTTTTGCTTTCATATATCATTGGCTTATGAAGTGACAAATCTATATTTTGACATTTTGGTTAAATCAATTTCCCCTTATTTACCAGGAGATCTGTTTTAAAATTTGTAATTTTCAATATCAACATACATGTAACTCTGGCTAAGAAGTAAAAATGCACTAATCTTGTCTGCCCAAACATTTATCTTCAGTGAAAACGCTTACAGACCATATCTCTTTAAGATGAAAAATTGTAGAGTTTGATATACTAGTAATATACTTATTCTATTTTGAATCTTTTGAAATTAATATTAAAAATGAAATCAACCGATTAAAAGATGATTTCAAATAACAATTATTACTATATTTCTAAAGTCTGTAATGAAAAAAAAAGTAATTATTCTCAGTTGTATTTTATTGTAGAACTTCCAATAAATAAATAAATAACATATCCCATATAAATATACCAAAATGCCCCCCCCCCCCAAAAAAAAAAACACTCTTAACAATATTATAATTTTTCCAACCAACTTATAATCTTGTCATGAGTTCGTGCATACATATTAATTTAAATATAACTAAAACAAATAGTAATTTAATTAGGGCGATAAATAAACAGGGTGGAAATATATTTATGTACTTGATAATAACGAGGAGCGGACGAACACCATCTGACCATTGCAAAACAAGCAATCAGAAGTTAGAAGGTTATTCCCTATTCCCTATTCGAATGGCGAACCGCCTGCTGTGACCGGTTCCCTCTTCAAATTACCGTAAGTGTCCTGATAAATTTTTTTTCAAAAAAAAAACTTGAATATCTCATTATAATAAATGTTAAAGAAGCAAATGAAAGACATCACTTAAAAAAGAAGAGTGAGGGCCCCAAACCAGTGTAGCTAGCCTGACCAAAATGATGACAATGGATAGAATAAGTAAACCTTGAACCAGGAGGTGGTTAACACCCTGGATCCAATATTTAGACCTTCATCTTTTTACGGGGGAGGGGCCTGGGAGGGATCCATCGACTGTCAAAAGGAATTGAGTATGCAAGTCCGGGAACTTATTTAGCTAACCCTGTCAAAATTGAAAAAATTCCGTATATAACTGTTATAAGAGTACATAGTTCGAGGGTTCCCGGTCTTGTAAACTCAGTTCCTTTTGACAGTCGAGGGGTCTCTCCCAGGCCCCTCCCCCGTAAAAAGAAGAAGGTCTAAACATGGGATCCAGGGTGTTAGCCAGCCCCTCGAACTATGTACTCTTATAACAGTCATATACGGGATTTCCCAATTTTGACCGGGCTAGCTAAATAGGTTCCCGGTCTTGCAAACTCATTTCCTTTTGATAGTCGAGGGGTCCTTCCCAGGCCCCTTCCCCGTAAAAAGAAGAAGGTCTAAATATTGGATCCAGGGTGTTAACCACCTCCTGGTTCAAGGTTTACCTATTCTATCCATTGTCATCATTTTGGTCAGGCTAGCTACATTGGTTTGGGGTCCTAACTCTTCTTTTTTAAGTGATGTCTTTGATTTGCTTCTTTAACATGTATTATAATGAGTTATTCACTTTTTTTGAAAAAAAAAATATTAGGACACTTACCGTAATTTGAATAGGGAACCGGTCACAGCATGCGGTTCGCCATTCGAATAGGGAACAGCATGCGGTTCGCCAGGGGAATAGGGAATAACCTTCTAACTTCTGATTGCCTGCAAAACAAACTATTTTTTATGTTCATATCACTAGAAATATTACAAAAAATGCATTGATCAAAACCTAAAAGCTAGTGAAGTCTCTACTAGAGTGAAAAAAAAAATCTCGGATGAAAACACCATAAACAAATGAATTTACAGCCTCCGGATATAAAATAACCTTACAGAGGTGGATTTAAGCTTCTTTACTACGTACCTTTCATCTCAACACCATATTTAAAACTGTTTATGCAATTGTAATTGCCCTTTAATTCTTTGTGTAGTAAGGAGACGAATGCTTATCTATTATCGCTTGCACATTGTGACATCTTGTACAGAGGTCTGTTAGGGTCTGGAATTTAAAGCTGATAGAAAAATATCTGTCAAAGAATGAAAAGAAAGACTTTAAGAGAAAATGAAAACTAAGATTTTGCTGATTGTACATATCTAGATCGGTATGAGGTGTAAACACTTAACGCTTTAAATAAAATAATTTAAATTTTGAGAATTTTGAATCTAAATTGAAAAAAAAAAATCATCAGGTCTTAATTTTCTGATTAAAAAAACACAGGTAACTAAAGTTACATAGCTCTAAGTCACCCTCACAAATATTATGGATAAGTAAGGCTAAATCTCACACCAAACGAACTTTCCGGTATTATGGGAATCTGGAAATAGATCTGCGTAAAAAAACTGACCATGTTAGTCAGATCCAACATACGAAGCATGTCTGATAGTGTGTATCCCTTGATGCATCATCCACCCGAGTTAAGTCACCACTGACTTATAGTTACATGCTCTTCAAAATGGGCTTGCTCTAAAAATTAACCTGTTCACTCATCCGGAAAATGTAGGTCAGATCCAACATTCAAGGCTAATCTGGTAGCGTGAATCACAAGATAGGTCGTCCATTAAAATTTAGTTACCATATGGTTTATACATGTACATGTAGTTACTTATATTGTCATGCATGCTTTTTCCACTTTATCTAGGAAATTAATGAAAGACAGTATTCATTGTTAAATTGTCCTTAAATTCAAATACTTTCATGGATTCTTTTCCACATACTTGTTAGCTTATAGAGTAATGCCAGTTGATAAATTCATTTCTCATCGGGTGTAGTTCACACAAAATAAACTTTGTATTTACTTCAAAAAAATCTTACAGGAGAAATACAGTTTTATTAGTATAAATATTAATATATTAGTCAGCTAAAGTTAATTCAATAAAATACTGAAGGATGCCATGTCGGTTTAATTTTCTCTAAATCATCACCGACAATTAAATAAAGTATATTTGGTTATAGTATATGTATTTTAAACATTAAAATCCAGTTAGTACAACGCATGCATTTACTAGCTTTAAAGGCCGATATCCTAAGACAGATCTTAAACTTTAGAAAAAAATCACAGATATAGCTTATCTGTTCAAACAAAAAGCAATAATCTCCTACACTGAATTATGTAACAATTCTCTGTCGGAGTCACTGCTATGTATATAAAGAAGTGCCAGGTTTAAATTTAAATGCGGAAGGCGGAACTGGTACGGAGAACGTTAGTTAACAGCCTGATAGCCAAGTGTACAAAGACCGACAGAATTAAACGGGGACATCAAGCGGAGAAAATGGTTTGGCTATATTTGCTGGGAATAATATGGGGCTTAATTTTAGCATTTGTAATGTAAGTAGATATTTTACACATTTTTGTGCTATTTTAATACAAAGGTGAATATACATTTATCAGGATTGCATATCAGCTTTTTAAGTATCGAGATCACGGTTTTAGCTCTTCGATATATATATATATATATATATATATATATATATATATATATATATATATATATATATATATATATATATATATATATATATATAGGAATACGCTTTTCCTTTTCATTACCTAAAAATTTTTAATTTTCTTAACAGATTTAATTAAGTACGTGTATAACAACCAACTCTGATTTTGTCTATGGTTTTTAATTTATCATGATACTGCTATCGAATTAATGCCATAGGTTACTTGGCAGATTTATTTTTGGGGACATTTTCATATCCAATGCTATCAGCTGATCAGTACTGGTCTTTTAACTCATTTATAGCCCCATTTTGTACGCTACATGGGTTTGGTTGACCTAATTCGACAAATAAGATCTTTTTAATGTCTGTCTGCATTGTTTAAAGAGAAAGATGCAGAGAAAGCCTGTATCGATAAATTGCTTGATGCCCATTTTTATTAAAACAACTTTTAGTCTTAAGTGACCAAGGACAAAATCGGTGACAAGTATGAATTACAGAATAACAAGGGAGAATAGTTTAATCGTAGGTTCTGAGAAGTGCTTTAAATCAACTTTACAAAAATGATAAGAAATTGTTTGTACAAGGTGAAAACATTATTATAGCCGATTAAACGTCCAAAAAATGTTTTTATTAAAACCTTTGTCAGTAAAGAAATTAGTTGTATATAAAGTGTACTCTAAGATATATTTGATCTGAATAGAAAGAATAATATTTTTCTTGTGTAAATGTAAAACAAATTCAAAACTTTCGATCTTCCTCTTATTTGGGACATGGGACAGCTGTGTATTATGCTCGCTGGTTTTTAAACCAGAAGAAGATGACAAAACATTTTTATACGATGTAATTTTTGAATTAAAAAAAAACAACAACATTATTTCAAAATCTTTTCATTCTTATGAACACGGGTCTAAAAGATTGACAATCGTGGTTTCATCAAGAAAAAGAGACGGTCATGTAATTGTACACCGTCCCTATCTCTACGTGAATGCATCATTGTGTAGGATTTAAAAGACTACACATTTAAGATGTAAAAGAGCGTGCCCCCTCCCGAGTGGGAAGAAAGTGCCCAAAATCCATTTATTATCTGTCACCTTTACGAAGTAGTATCTACATAATATATTCTACAACATTTTGAACCTCAAATAGGAAATAGGTGAATCACTTGCTAGACTTGTACTTAGTGTTTGTGGGAGGTTGCGCTATATTTTCGCTAATCCATTAGTTATCCACGAATTAATAATTAATTCAGAAGAAATCGAATAATTTGATGTATTATTAACGATTATTTAGCATTACTAAAACAATTACAATATACACACTATTCTTATCAATTAATCATCTAACAATCATATTACGCCAACAAAGACTTCCTGATCGTGTGGTCCTAGTTCAAGGTGTTTTCTTAATGAATCACATAACTCTGACGAGATCTTATGTTAATTAATGACAAAAAAAACTTAGAGATTGAATATGTATTGTGACAAAAAAAAAAATGAATTAACAACAAAGTTGTATGTATGGATACATTATCCATTTTATAATAATGTGGGGACTACATGTATCTTGAGGTTAAGATCTTGAGACAATAAATAGAACAAACAGTTTCCCATTTCTTTACTCTAAATGCACCCAGTACTAAAGTATTTTTACTGGGTCGATCGTGTTGACCTGATATTACGTTTAATAACGACAGCTTCAGAGGAGAATAAACCATTTTTAAGTAGAATGGATAAAAAAAGGGGGAAAAGCAATGCAAAAATCCCCAACTGCCAAAGGATTTAATGACCCCCCCCCAACAAGTTTCTCTGATTTTAAGGAATCTTTTAATTGCTAGCTACAGATGATAAAACAAACACGGTTTAAACACAGGTGCATAAAAAAAGAATCTTTTAATACTTCTGTTTAAAAAAGAAAAAAAAAGGTAAAGATAACGATCCGTGATCGAAAAACGAAACATAGGAATATAGTTATTTTTACAGAAGTTAATGAGGATAGGCTATCAAATGTTTCCAAGTTGATGAAATGATGAAGTAATGACGTTGAACATCTGTGAACGTGAAAATTTGAAATTGAAATGACTTACTAGTATTAATAGCGTTACACTGTATTTCAATTGACAGAATTTATACGAAAAATGATAAACTTATTTTTGTGCTTGGTCAAATGTGTACTTAAACAAGGTAACTAGACGGCAAAATAAATTCTCTTTCAACTTGTCTACTAGGTGGCCCGTCAGAGGATCTTGTTTTAATTTTATGCGTTATTAGGTTAATAATTCATACATACATATATAAACGCTTGTCTCTGAAAAAAAAAAATCTTTCGGTGAGAACTTATAAAATTTACCTGTTTATATTCCAGGTTTAGCAAGAGAAGGCACAGGTATTTTAAGCAACTGAATATCCCTGGCCCAGAACCTACTTTGTTTTTAGGAATCATCCCTTTAATCAAGAAAAAGGTATGAATAATCATATATTTACGTTTTTTTCAAACACCAAGCTCTGTTATATCTGGAAATCTTTACTTGAACTTCTATGTTTTTAGCTCACCTGAGCCGAAGGCTCAAGTGAGCTTTTCTGATCACATTTTGTCTGTAGTCCGTCTGTCCGTCCGTCTGTAAACTTTTCACATTTTCGACTTCTTCTCAAGAACCACTGGGCCAATTTCAACCAAACTTGCCACAAAGTATCCTTGGGTGAAGGGGATTTAAGTTTGTTCAAATGAAGGGCCACGCCCTCTTTCAAGGGGAGATAATAAAGAATTAGAGAAAAATTAATAGCATCTTTTAAAAATCTTCTTCTCAAGAACCACAAAGCCAGGGAAGATGAAACTCATGTGGAAGCATCCTCAGGTAGTGTAGATTCACATTTGTTCAAATCATGACACCCGGGGGTAGGGCGGGGCCACAGTGGAGGATCAAATTTTTACATAGAAATATATAGGAAAAACCTTTAAAAATCTTCTTCTCAAGAACAGCAAAGCCATGATGAGTCATATTTATATGGAAGCATCCTCAGGTAGTGTAGATTCAAGTTTGTTCAAATCATGACCCCCTGGAGTAGGGCGGGGCCACAATGGAGGATCAAAGTTTTACATAGAAATATATAGGAAAAAATTTTAAAAATCTTCTTCTCAGGAACAGCAAAGCCCAAATTGGTCATATTTATATGATAGCATCCTCAGGTAGTGTAGATTCAAATTTATTCAAGTCTTGACCCCCCAGGGGTAGGGCGGGGCCACAATGGAGGATCAAAGTTTTACGTAGAAATATATAGGAAAAATCTTTAAAAATCTTCTTCTCAGGAACAGCAAAGCCCTGATTGATCATATTTATGTGGAAGTATCCTCAGGTAGTGTAGATTCAAGTATGTTCAAATCATGACCCCCTGGGGATAGGGATGGGGCATAATGGGGGATCGAAAATTTTACATAGGAACATATAGGAAAATATCTTCTTCTCAAGAACTGAAAATCATGTTTAGTCATTTTGATATGGAAGCATCTTCAGGTAGTGTAGATTCAAATTTGTTCAAATGATGACCCCTGGGATAGGGAGGAGCCACAATGGGGGATCAAATTTTTACAAAGGAATATATGGGAATTTTTTTTTTAAAACTTCTCAAGTACAACAAAGCCATTTGTTATATTGACATGGAAGCATCATCAGGAAGTTTAAAATTCAACCCCCCCCCCCCCTTAATCTTTTCAATACTGAACTGATTTGTGCTTTTGCCTTGCCAATGTGCTCAGGTGAGCGATGTGGCCCATGGGCCTCTTGTCTAGTTTTTAAGTTGCTTTTAAACTGACTATTCTCTATTATTGACTAATAATTTAATTATTAGATTTTTACCGTTTGTAATATGGCCTCAACAGTGTTTTGTTAAATTTTGTGAAAAATTGCAGCAGGATTTATTTGTATATTTTTTCTTATCTTTATACATAAACTAATCATGAATACAGTTAAGATTTTTTTTTATAGGGGATTGCTAAAACAGATTTGGAATTGGTATCAAAATACGGAAAAATTGTCGGGTATGCATGTAAATCAAGTATGTGTATATTCAGTTATTAATATTGCTTCGTCCGTGCAACAAAATTGTTGAAGATCCATATTTTCTTCAGCATTTTGAACTTTCTCATCTCTCTGTGCAGAAAAGAGTAACTACAGTTTGGGGTCCTTTGCATGGTCTGTAATGTTGTTCAGTCAGATCTTCGGACTTCTAAAGGACAAGATATAATTTTGTATTGTTTTAGTTAGCTTGATTTTGAGGCGTACTTGTAGATGTACTTTGCCGTACAAGAACACTTAAGTTAACCTACTAACTTACTGCAAGCTATCATAAATTTGATGAAAGTAGCATAAGCATTTATTACCATCATAGCCTGTTGTCTTTCTACAATCTTATTTTAAATGCAGTGCTTTATTTTTTTCCTTTCTCTTTTTTTAGCATTTATGTTGGACACAAACCTTCTTTATTGACGAGTGATGCTGACTTTATTCACGAAGTTTGTGTAAAAAAGTTCAACTGCTTCAGAAACAGAGCGGTAGGAATCTACGATGTAAAAAAAAATCTTGATTATCCTGTAAATTCATGGCCGTAGGAACCGGGGGGGGGGCGTGCCCCCCCCCCCCCCCAATAATTTAGCCGATGTATATACTACTTTAGAAAACATGTCTACTTTATGCTTGTGCCCCCTCAAAAATAACGTCTGATGACCTTTTTTTTTTTTTGGTAGTTGACAGTGCTCCCCCAACTGAAAATGTATGGTTGTGCCCCCTCAAAGTGAATTTGCTTCCTACGGGCCTGAAATTACAAATATTCTGCGAAAGTTCATTAATGAGGATAGGTTGATAAATAAAAGAAAACCCAAGAAACTGACAGACTGAGGGTTCGATCGCTTTTAGAAGGAGGAAAAGGCTTTACAGATTCGTATTTCTATAAGACGACAGGTGTTATGCATGCGTTTGTCTATAGAAAACCTGTGCAATTTTTGAATTCTCAAAACAGTTGTTTTCATAAACAAAGAAAAAGGTCCATTCATCTTACAATTCATTCTAAAAATACTTCTTCAGTTAGGAACGTTTTCAGTAATATACATGTACCTCTTCATATAGAGAAATTTCATTTAAAACAGGATATATTTTTAAAAAAAATGAAAATGGCGTATCTTCAAGATAGGAGGTAAACTTTCTTCAAGGTTATTTCTCCTTTTTTGATATAGATACATCCTGAAGAAGAACAAATCTATCTATAGACTAAGCATGAAATATGTAGAGATAACGAACAGTATCTGTTATTAGTCCCCTACCGGTGAAACCGGAGGGGACTATAGGTTTCCTCTGAGTCTGTCCGTCCGTCTGTCCGTCCGTCTGTCTGTCTGTCTGTCCGTCTGTCTGTCTGTCTGTCCCTCTGTCTGTCTGTCAGTCTGTCCCACTTGGTTTTCCGCACTTTTTTCCTAAACGCTTGCAGATATTGAGCTGATTTTTGGTATGTAAGTGTATCTTGATGAGTTACAGATCAACTTTGCATTTCGTTCCGCTTCATTGATTTTTGACGGAATTACGGCCTTTTCAATTTTTACGGGTTTTCCGCAATTTTCTTCTAAACGCTTGTAGATATTGAGCTGATTTTTGGTATGTGGCTTTAACTTGATTAGTTATAGATCAAGTTTGCATTTCGTCCCGCTTCATTAATTTTTGACGGAATTATGGCATTTTCAATTTTTAACGGGAACGGAACCAGATTACACTTGCCGGTAGGGGACTAGTATTGCTAATGCAATACTCTCAGAATGCTTGTTAAAAGAGAGAAACCTTGTATGGAGAATGAGAATAAAATGACATGACTTGCTAATAATCAAGTATTACAGTACAATGCAATTGATGCATGGCAGTGAAAAAAAAAATTCACTGAAATGATTAAAACATTAGCATAGAATTCTAAATATGCAGTAAGTTGCGCTGAATTTGCCTACATTTTTGTACATCCTAAATACTAATGTTTGGGAAAAAACAGCTTGTGTTTGACATACTTAAAAAGCATTGAAGTCATTTCTATGTGAAAGTAGGGAGATAAGGTATTCTCATTCAAAAGGGTGCTTTGAGTTCTGCTTTGTTTTTGTCCAGTATTCATGTCTCCATATTCTTTTCAAATTTGAAGCAAATATGTTTGATTGCTCAAAAAGTTTTCCAAACATGTCCATTTTTGCTAGTCTGTAGTGGAAGTATCAAACAAATCCTACCCTGCTGTTAAAATAGGCGAATAAGCATGTAAGAAGGCGTTAAAAATAAAGTCTGTCAATTCTGTTTGTGTTTTAAAGTATTATGAACTTAGGCTGTACTCTGCTGTCAGCTTTTACTCAATGATGTCTATTTTATGCATGTTTTAGAGTATTATGAACCTAGGCTGTACTCTGCAATCAGCTGTGGCGTTGGCAAAGGATGAGAAGTGGGAGATTCTTCGCAGGAGATTGGCGCCGTTATTTTGTCCCGCAAAACTCCAAAAATCAGGTGTAAGTAACGGAAGACTAGAAAGTAATAGACTTAATACATACCATTTTTTATTCAGTGTACTTTTTTCCGTTTTGGATTGAATGCTAAAGGGGTGTTTAGAATATTACAGCTATAGAGAATAAGGTTAATACAGAATCGAATTATTATTGTTAGAATAGATCATTTTTCTTTGATGGCATTTCTCATTTTAAATATATCAGAGAAATATCAAAATATAATAACTAAAAATTAACACACATACATTAAGAATGAAGTCTTGTTAGGGAATTTTTTATACATATCCCAATTATTGTATAACAAGTAAGGGCAGAAAATGAGTACATGTAAGTGTGCTTATGCTTTGGTACGTGTAATAAATAAATAATCATGAGATTCAAGTGCTGAAATGTGTGATAATGAAATTTATAATGTATTCTGAAATTCCGCAAACTATGTAGGCTGTCTTGTCGTCATTCAGAAAATTTATGCAATATTGATAAATTCATACATGAACTCTGTATCGCAATTTTTTTTTTATAATGGATCCCGCTCTGATTTTGTTGTTCATAGACTTGACAATCCTTTCCCTAATCTACCGCCCAGATACAATGTTTAATGTCAACCATCACATAGTGTTTTCAAAAGGAATTTGATTACTAGTCGATAACGTTGACCCCTTTTTCTTTCGAAATACGAATTTCTTTGTTGATATGATTTTAAGGGAGAGAGGAAAAAACCGGGAGTTTTATGTAGAATTTAACCTAGATTCATTGTTGCTCACTCGTAAATGCCTTGCTTAAAAAGAAAAGAATTTTTTTAGGCAACAATTCTACAACAACTCATGAAATAAAAGTTTTTTTTCTTGCATGCTAATAAACATGTTATACAATTATCCTCACTGAGGCCAGTGAACATATTGTGATTTTGGTATCACTAAATTTATCATTGATTATCATTCACCAAGAATTTAATGAATTCATATATCTCTAAAACAGCCCTACTTATTTTTTTTTTTTTATCTAATTACATATAAAATCAAAATAATATGCGTAAATGAATAACATTCAAATTTTTAAAAAAGAAAAATGGAGAATGTAATCCGCCAACCATGACAATTGAAGATAAATCCGGCTTTCTTTTGCAGGTAGTAACCATCGTAAATGAGTGTGCAGAAGAATTGGTAGATCACGTGAAGGAATTGACCCTGGCCAATAAACATGGCTTCGATTTTTACGAGTAAGTCTTCGAAATCGTTTATTGACATTCTTTTTGATATTAAATAAATGGTATAACAACTACAACCTCGTTTACAGAGCATGTGCATATTTTTCAATGGACGTTCTGTGTACCTCCCTATTTGGACATCGTGTGACCAGTCATAAAAATCCTAATGAAGATTTTGTCAGAAAAATTGTTGAAGCATTTAAAGCTGGCAATAAAGATATTGTTAAGCCTGTAACACTGTGTGGTAAGATTTTCTATATCAATATGGAATTACATAAGAATATAAACCACCCATATGAGAAACAAGCCTATCACTGTCACCTTTTTTTCAGTACTTACCCTACTTTATTTACAAATGTTGCATACAAAATTCCTCTCAACAATAACTATTTCTGTTATTATCAACATTTATTTAAGGATGTTGTTGACTAAAATGTCAGATTCCAAACAAATTCTAGTAAAGGCAATTGTATAGATCTGTTTACTATATTTTGTTGGAAATTCTAGATATGGAAAATAATTGTGCTCCTTTATTAGCTGACCTGCTTTTACTTGTATTTTATTATGATGCAGAATTTATTTTAAAAACTTTACAAACTACATGAGAAGAAGAAAACTCTTGCTTTGGCTTTGTATTCGACATTTCGATATATCCAATTAACAGTATTCTCATTCATATGTCGATATATCCCACTGAACTGAAAGTGAAAGTATTACAGTCTGTAACATAATGACTTAAGTGGCCAACTAACAGCTAAACTATATGACAGATGTAATAACTTCAGCTTTTCCATCGTCAACTTCCCCTATTTATGTAGCAAAATTTTAATGTCACCTGTATGGTGTTTACATCTCCAAACCGATTCGGTACTCAAGATCATGTTCTGAGGAGGATCAATTTTTAAACGAAGGCAAATTACTGACAAATAAATTGATGTTGGCTTTTCAAAACAAAAAAAAACCAAAAAAAAAAACCAAAAAAAAAAAAAAAAAAAATCAGCATTTTATGGAATTCCATATACGACAGCCAACTGCTTACTGCCAGCTGCTCACTGCTTACTGCCAGCTGCTCACTGCTTACTGCCAACTGCCACACATATTTGAATAAATTTTCATTTTTCTATTGATATTTATGTGAATTTTCATAAAACCAGGCGCGGATCCAGGATTTTTTTTTACAGGAGGGGTCCACCCCAGTAAAAAAAATCCAACCCAGCAATTTCTTGACAAAAAAAAAAACAAACAAACAAACAAACAAAAAAAAAAAAAACGTAAACTCCTTCCCTAAACGTAAAAAACCTATTTCGGCGAAGGGAAGGGAGGGGTTGACATCTTATGCTTCAAATCTATGACTTTTCATATCAACTTAACACGGATCCACGTTTTTTAGGAGGGGGGTTCCAAGGTCACCAAGGCATTTAGTTGGTTTAGTATATACATTAAATAACTCTACAAATTCCAGGGGTGGTCCGGACACCCACCCACCCCTCCCACCGCCCCCTCTAGATCCGTGTATGTAAAACATAACTTATTTGGGAAAACAAAGATATAGATCTTTAATTTGAGAAAGTATTTCACTATAGAAATTAACGGAAAATGGAAATTTATTTTCAAAACATCTTCCCCCGCGAAACAACAGATCCTTTTTTTCAGTTTTTATTCATTCCAAAGGTTTTGTTGTCTCACGGGGGGGGGGGGGGGGGGCACGTGTTTTTTGAAGATTAAAAACAGGAAAATAGTCATTTTATTACCAATTTCAAATGAGATCACAAATAAAAAATGTACTTTATCACTTTATCAATCTCATATGTTAAATTTTACATACGTTAAATAATTTTTAAAACCAGTGACAAAAAGTTAATTGCTCTTATTTACAACTCCTTTCATAAGGGGGTACAAAATGTCATCTTTTGAAATCAGGCTGAAAACATCACCATTTTCAAATACTCATGAAAATGAAATGGATAAATGACTCTTAAATCTCACCGTATGTTTTAACTTATGTAAAATTTATCATTTGAGATTGATAAAGTGATAAAGTACATTTTTTTAATTTGTGATCTCATTTAAAATTGGTAATAAAATGACTATTTTCATGTTTTTAATCTTTAAACACGTGCCCCGTCCCCCCCCCCCCCCCCCGTGAGACATCAAAACCTTTGGAATGAATAAAAACTGAAAAAAAGGATCTGTTGTTTCGCGGGGGAAGATGTTTTGAAAATAAAGTTCCATTTTCCGTTAATTTCTATAGTGAAATATTTTCTCAAATTAAAGATCTATATCTCTTTATTTTCCCAAATAAGTTATGTTTTACATACATGGATCTAGAGGGGGGGGGGTCGTTGGGAGGGGGGGGTCCGGACCACCCCCTGGAATTTGTAGAGTTATTTAATGTATAGACCTATACTAAACCAACTAAAAGTGACCTTGGACTCCCGCCCCCCCCCCCCCCCCCCCTAGAAAACGCGGATCCGTGTTAAGTTGATATGAAAAGTCATAGATAATATGAAGCATAAGATGTTAACCCCCCCCCCCCCCCCCCCCGGCCGAAATAGGTTTTTCACGTATAGGAAAGGAGTTTACGTTTTTGTTTTTGTTGTTTTGTTGGTTTTTTTTTGGTCAAGAAATTTCTGGGTTGGATTTTCTTTTAATGGGGTGGGCCCCTCCTGTAAAAAAAATCCTAGATCCGCGCCAGGTTTTATGAAAATTCACATAAATATCAATATAAATGTGAAAATTTATTCAAATATGTGTGGCAGTTGGCAGTAAGCAGTTGGCAGTAAGCAGTGAGCAGTTGGCAGTAAGCAGTTGGCTGTCGTATATGGAATTCCATAGTATTTATCAAATTATAAGGTCGATATAATGAGACAGTTTTTTTTAATATACAACCCATAGCTGGGTCGTATTTTGTTTGACATTTACCTGACTAATATTGAGGGTTGATGACGAGTGTATCTGGTCGACAGGGGATAGTTATTCCTTCTACCTCTGCAGTTATCACGGGTCCTTGCTTTTGCCCTGTTTACGATTTGTATTTGTTGGGGATTTATGAGATCGATCGCTGTTCATTGTCCTCACCTACTAGTATTTATATTATGCATTCCACACATATTCTCTATGTTTATGTCGTTGACAAACAAGTTGAAGAAACAAGAATATCAACAGAAACAAGTTGATGAAACAAGAATATCAACATTCTCGTTTAAAGTCATCATTTCTCATGTTTTATGGTCGATACAATGACCTTGTTGGCAAGTATACAATCTATCATCAAGTCAAATGCTGACTGATGTTTTTCATACTAATTGTTAGGCCATTATTTACACACTGAATTGTCTACGTAATTTTCCGGGTTTTCCCGATCATGTCAAGGAGCACACGGCGGATGTGACATGTCGGCAGGGGATGCTCACTCCTCCATGGCATCTGATCCCACCTCTAATGTTTCAGCTGTCCGCGTTTGCTCTGCTCCTGATTTGTATTGTTTAAATGGACTTATAAGTTTGAATACTGTTTGTTATCTCCATATTTCATTGTGGGGGGGGGGGGGGCTTCAATTTATACCTTGAACCTTACATTTCAGTTTTAAATAAACAGTTTTGAATTAAGTTGAAAATAGGTTATTACTAATTATGTATAATGTAGAAAATATTTAGAAAAAGTATTCTTTTTCCTTCTTTAACCATTATCTTGAGTCACACATTAAAATTGAAATATGATTATATATCGACGCTTAATTTTTAATTTTAAAGATTTAATGTGCTCAAAAATGTCTGCTAGATTATAAATGTAGCTTGTTGAATAACAAGGCATGATATTTTGTGGAAATAATCAGACTTGTATCTTATTTATAACAGCAATACTTCCTTGTTTGCGGCTCTGGTTCCAGTGTAGAAATTACAACCCTATATCCAAGGACACCAGGAAGTTTTTCATTGACCAGATGACGGCAGAGATAGAGAAGAGGGATAACCCAGTTAACGTGAGAACATAATAATATAGATTATGTAACTTTAAGGTATTTCAACAGTGTCCTTTGGCTTACACATAACTTAATTCATTCAGATACTGGTATACGGTTTCAATTATTTTGGCTACTTATCAAGGTAATCTGCGTGAAAAAGTTTAAATTGCCTCAGGGAATACAATTTTGAATGCATAGACGATGCAGTTAATACGTACGTTATCTTCATTTGTATATTGATGAGAAATAAATTTGAGAATTTTCTTTAAACCTTTGTAGAGATCGAATGACCTTCTACAAAGTATGCTGGAAGCCGACAGCAATTCAAACACCACTAGAGAAAGGAAGGGAAAAAATCTAGGTTTGATATTGAACCACTCCAAGTACCATCTATATCTATCTATTTATCTGTTTATCATAAGCATGCAACTGACTGTTTCCTTTGATGTATAAATACTGTCTTTGGCCAATGCGCCAAAGAAAAATATTTCTAATCTAATGCAAGTTCAACCTACTTGATTGACTTTGATGTTTCAGATCTAAGCATTTCCGACCTAACGGCTAATAGCTTATTCTTCGTCCTGTCCGGATACGAAACGGTGGCTAATGCACTAGCACTGACAGTTTTATGTCTAGCAGTACATCCTGAATGCCAGAAGAAATTGATAAATGAAATCAGAGCATGTTTAAAAACGCCAAACTCTAATTGTCACAAAGAGGTGAGTTTTCTCAAAGTTGAAGTTCCTGCTATAAAACAGACTGATATGATATGATGTAGCTGTTTTTAATATAAATGGTATTTTTTCTTCCTTATCTTTCCTTTGGAATACTAGTATTATTTTAAAAAGTACAATACAAGCAGATTATGAAGCTGTATATTTCATAATTTTGTTAATATTATATTTAGTTTGTTTAGCACCTCTCGAAAAAAGTTAGTGGAACATAATTACATGGATATAGTACATTTTTATTTCGTGATAACCTATCCGTCTGCATTCTACTTATAGAAATTTTTTGAAATCACAATTCTTTTTCTCCAAAATCAAAAAAAAAAGTATGAGTTTTCAACACTTTATACAATCACTTCTTAAGACAGGCTTAAGACTAGATTTTTAGACATCTTAGACAATTGCTTCTTCAATAAAAATGGAACTCGGAATTTTTTATGTCTTGTGCTTGGCATGTAAAAAATTACTTCGCAAAAATGATTTTTAATTTTACACACAAGTACTCTGAAGTTGATAGTTAAAGGATTCTGGAGTTCCTCATTGAAAATACCTTTGTACAGTGCAGTCTTTGGAGACCATGTCTTTCAACAATCTGTTAGAATACGATAGACACTAAGTGTACTCCTTTATCATCAGCCGACCTGTTTTTTATATTCTTATGAAGAAATTTTATTCAGGAACTTGTATATAAGAAAAAGAAAGCTCTTGTTGTGGCTTTTAGATATATATCATGAACATTTTATCAATGAACAGTCGTTATTTTCATTTATATATTGACTATGTATATCAAAGTGAACTCGAAATAAAAGACCCACAGAGTGTGCCATATCTTCGATATTTGGATGATTTAGTGCCTATAGGTGTTTATGACCATGCAACCAGAACTAAACTACGTACATGTATATGGCAAACCGGATTACTTCAAGTTTTCCATCGTCAACTTATTCCTTCTTATGTAGTATTATTCCACTAACCTGCATTTGTTGTTATTCGGTACACAAAGTACGATCACTTATTAAACCGAGGTAGGCAAATGGCAAATAAGTTGATGTTATGGAACTTCATCACCCTTGTTTAAATTCAGCATTTTGCAAATTTCTTCGTTATAATGACTTTTTTTTGCTAATTGGTCATATTTTGACTGATATGTTTCATACTAATGACGTTTACTGATTTTTATTTGAAAATGAAAATAAGTACACAACTATATTATAGTCGTGTACTTATTTTCATTTTCAAATAAAAATAAGTAAACGACCCTAATTATTATGTCATTGTTTTTATACTTATTTCGACTAAGAATTACTCCGTTTACCGAAACAAATGACAATATAGAGGGCTTCCGATGGGTGTGACCGGTCGTCGGGGGGATGCTTACAGGCTGTACTCCTCCTAGGCATATGATATCACCTCTGGTGTTTTCTGCCCTGTTCACGATCGATTTGTTTTACAGGATTTATGAGATCTATCACTTTTCTTTATCTTCACCCTGTCCGTCATGGTTCACATTCTTATTTACAAACCAAAAATGTTGATAAAATTAAATTTTCACAAAAATCAAAATGTATCGGTATCTATAACCTCAAATCTTGCCTGGTTGTCTTTATTTAATCAATATGAAAATATTTCATAGTCTTGTCTTTGATTCCAAGGTTGTCTAGGCATTTTATTGCATACAGTTTACTTCAAAAGTAAATGTCATTCAGATTTTTTTAGTTCATGAATTTTTAAAACCATATCTCCTTAAACTAATAATCGATAATTGAATCATACTGTATCATTCTCAAAAGCTAACATCCTTTATTCTTTCAATTACAGACGCAAAGAATTCCATTCCATTTCAGTTTTTTTTTTAAAGATATTTTTTATAACACGTCGGACTACCTTCGATTTTCTATGTGATGTTTCAAATGATTTCTATGATAAAGTTGAATATCACGTTTCATGTAGATGTATGTTTCTAGAAAAAGAGAGCCGTCTGACCGACAGCAATTTTATTGATTTTCTTGTGTCATTTTGTTTCCATCTTAGGCCTGTCAATGTTGCAAGTTTAAAATATGCTGCCTTTTGCAAATAAAATATGAGAAGTTTCATAAGATTTATTAGGTTATTGTTTTTATACTAAATTGATTACGGATTTTTTCCGTCCACCTGATCAATATTTACGGTTCAAGGCGGATGTGACCTGTCGACAGGGGATGCCTACTCCTTCTAGGTACCTGATCCCACCTCTGGAATTTCCAGGAATGTGCGTTTTATGCCCAGATCACATACTTGTATTATTTGTAGTTTTTTTTTTTTTTTAGATCGATCACTGTTCGTTATCTTCATTCATATATTATAACTAATTAATTAACAACTCATAAAATTTCTTTCTAGAAGCTGTCAACTTGGGAAGATGTACAGAAGCTGAAATATTTACAACAATGTGTGAATGAGAGCCTTCGGTTGTTTCCACCATTTCTTAGGTACACGTTGGGATGTTTCTCCTGTATCATGTTAAAAATTAATTACAGTTGAACTTCAGTATCTCGAACACTGATATCTAGATCGAATACCACGGATATGTCGAAGTGATAAGGAAGTCCCAAACACTTATTCTTTTAAGTATTTTATATTGTATATCTTGAATCTTCGGATATCTCGAACTCGGTCTCATTGAGTTCGAGATAACGAGGTTTGACTGTATACTGGGTTTTTTTTATTCTGCTCAAACAAACCTTCCTTGTTCATTTCAACCAATATCATTTTACAGGCATACGTTTTTTAGCTTGTGGAGATATTATCATAAGACAACTTATAGATATTTTCATGACACACGTGAAACCTTAAGATTTGATCTCAGAATCTTCATCAAGGATTAGAATATTAAACAAGGCTGTGAAACACTAAACATAATTTGTATTTTACTACTAGAAAGTTATCTATTTCCTTTCAGGGCTTTTTGATCACGGGGGGACGGGATTTTGTTATTTGGCTTGTGGGTTCACAATCAAAAGATCACGTTCATGTATCTTGTTCTATCATGCCTTATATATAACTTGTTCAATTGACCTCAGACATTTTAGCGAATAAGAAGGGGAAAAATCCATTTCAGAATGAGACATTTAATTATTAGAAAATCTGCTTTACCATTTCTCTGAATACTAATGATGATACACAAATATTTAATTCCCTCTTATTTTCCTGCTTTTCATTCAGATTTAATAGAACCACAAATACAGAAATTGTTATCAATGGAATAAGTATACCGGAGGGAATGGATGTCACAGTGTCTACATATGCACTGCATCATGATCCCGATGTCTGGTCAGAACCAGAGAAATTCGATCCCGAGAGGTACTTAAAATAGATGGCTACCAGAACAGATTGGGCCTTAATGTTAACAATATGACAGAGCAAAATATGAGATTCAAATTAGAGTGTAAAATCAACAATTGTTTATTGCATTTTAACTGTATTTTTTAAAAAAAAAATGGTGTTTGTGATGGAGTAGTCAAATCTTGTTCCTAAAAAAGTGATATATGATATCTTCAATAAAAGTCTCATAAATAACCCTTAATATTCTTAACTTAGGTTTTCAGAAGAACGGTTCCCATTATCACACCTCAGCCACTTTCTACCGTTTGGACTTGGTCCAAGAGACTGTTTTGGGAAGGATTTTGCTATTCTGGAAGTCAAATTAGCTTTAGTTTCTTTATTACAGCAGTATGAAGTTTCCACTCTTCCTGACACCGAGGCAAGTATTGAATAATGTGATGCAATAAAAGAATTTTTCGATAGAGCTAAATTTCGTGACGATTCTTAATCATTGATTGCTTCATTTATATTCCATTTTAGTTTCCACCAGTTTTAGAAAAGGGCAACTTTTCCAAAGCAGAAAATGGAATTTGGCTGAAATTTTCAGAACGTAGGCAATAAAGGAGAGTAGACCATAATTAATAGGAATATTAAAACATTGACTTGAATCACAAAACTGTAAATTCGAGTTAATGAGACGGAAAAGTTTTAAATCGAAAAGATTTTTGTTGGAGATTAGTTCTCAAAACCAAAGGGCCAACAGAGAATTTTAATCATCTTGAAATACACACAGAGCATTTTGGAGAAAATAAAGAAGTGTGGAATAGAAATAGCATGACGGAAATCCATCATGATGCAAATCCGATGTTTCTCATTAATGGCTAGTGAATGAACGTGCAATAACCTTTCATTAACTTTTTTAATACACAATACTTTTGCCAGAGTTCACGAAGGAGAGTTCACATACTAGTTAATGAGACCAGGAATCATAGATTTATCAGACAGAATCACAGATCGATGTGGCCAGTACATCAATTCTAGGAATGCCCATCTAAAAGATACATAATTAATGATCTATATCCCTTCTCTATTTTTAAAAGATATTATAAGACCATCCTAAAGAAAACCAATTTTATTCAGCAATAACACGAACAGAATGGAATGCAATATAACTAAAATAAAATATTAACAATACATGACATGAATTCGAATATTAAGATATTTACACTTAAATCGTAATAAGTTATATATGTATAATAAACAACAACACAATTGCTAGAGTTAGGTACATATAATTATGGGTTCAATGGATAAAGCCAATGATCTATATATCTATTAGATACCTTTAAAAGGTATGTTACAAAGTATCATCATACAAGTTTGCTTATAAGCTATAACTTGAACCTAAATGTTAAACTACTGCATGAGCTAATTCATCAGATTTTAACAAGCAGTTTGGGTATTTTCTTGAGTATACGGGTATTTTCTTGAGTATACGTGCTTGGGTCAATGCAAGCTACCTAAATGATAAAATTGTCATGAAGTATTATTTTATAGGTAAATTGTAAGGTAGTTTCTTGTAATAATACATATGCTGTGTTCATTTCTGTTTGATGGGCTCGAAAATAAAAGTCACACCAATAACAGATTTTGTGAGCTTTATAACCGAGATATGTAATAACCTAGTTGTACAGTTGTAGTTACAATGTTGTTTGTACATGTAAGTAATATTCAATATAAGAAAGCTCTGGGAGTATGACTGGTTAAATGTCGTTAAGAAGGAAAACTTTCTACTCCATGTAAATGAATGCAATGCACTGAAAATGGGAAAAGCGAAATATATATCTAAAAGAATATGTACACTGAGATTGAACACTGAAAGCAAATTGTGACTTCAATTACCCTTTTTGAACCAAGAAAACTTAACAGTGCTAGAAAATGCAAAATACTGCACATTCCAAGTTTCATCAATCTATAAACTATTCCTTTGGGAAAAAGGAATAAAATTGATATTCTTTTGCCGAGTTTGTTTATAAACAATAGGTCGAATATCATAAGTCTACTCAAGAAGTTTTCACAACATTATGAATGTCACTTTTGGAGCTCCATTAATTTACTCTTTTTTTCTCTATCAAGTTGAAAGAATACTCCAAATATTGAAATATACTTTGAGTATTTCGCCTTTCAGTATTGCAATGTAAAGGGCATTGTACCAAAAACTGTAGAAATAAAAATGTATATAAACATCAATATATCGACGATTCTGTACATACAAATATGAATGTAGAATGATTTCTATTGCTTTTATACTTCAAATGAAAATAAGGACCATTTATACTCCTTAAACAACCTAAATCATCTCAATTGTAGATTTTTGAAACAAACTTGTTACGTTTGTCATCTTAATTTTGATTTAGTGTAATTCACATTGATCAAACAAATCCTTAAGTAGATCAAATCCTTTTGTGCACAGATTTTATAAATTGCTGAGTATTATTTCCAAGATATGAGAGGGAAAACTGAACAAAATAATGTTTTTGTTTAACACTGCGTTTGCAATACCTTTCAAACAATCACGTATTTCGATACGTCATTTTGTAAGTCTGCACACATTCCGTTCAGTGCCGGAAATAACCGAACTGTTGGTTCTGTTTTATGAAGATCTGATAGAAGAACCTCCACTTGTTCTACAGGGGCTGAAATAATTTGTCCATTTTGGACGTTTCTAACGTAGATTGCAAAAGACTTGGTTTCACCACCTTTTACACAACATCCAGCCAACCAAATGACGTCCGGGACATTTACATCATTTCCAATCGTTTTATTCTGAGATGGCACCCCTCCGGCTACAATATGTATATCAGGGGAGTTATTCTTCTTTCTTCTATGATGGTTCTCTACATTTTGGTCCAAGTTAACAACTCCACAAACATTGATGGCGTATTTTCTAACACTTTCTAACGCCTGTTTCCAAGCGCTGTAAATAGAGGCATGAATAGGGACAGTATTGGTCATCGAAAGGGTAGCGATCCGCTTTGCAACGTCACTTCCTGCTATCTCAGGAGCCAGTAGATATTGTAGCTGGTATGGCTGGTTCTCATAGTCAGACTCGATGGCCTGGTACTCCCCAAGCTGACATCTTTGTTCGAAGGTCATATCCTCGGTTGATACATACTGTAGTCCATTGGGCTCTCTCTTTCTTTTCAGACCGACATCCATTGGTTCAATTTTCTTAAGACCTGTAAGATTGTTCGAAAAATAAACTAGTAACCTTGTGGTAAGGGAACTTTAAAAACAAAGTATTACTCACAAATTTTACTTTAAAAATGATACAAGCAAATGTTGCTCATAATTAAGGAAATATTTTTTTTAAATAAATAAGTAGATAAATGTCAAGCGAACACATGTGATGCATGTATTTTGAACACATTACTCTTTCGCTTATTTCAATTTTTATCTAATCTAAACTCCAGTCTTTACTGAAAATGTTACGTGAAATAAATAAAATGCCATGAAGCTATACATACCGGGTAAATGAATGAAAACGCGCAAAAAGCCAATACATACCAAAACAGTTGCAAAAGCTTCTTTTTTTTAATACACAATGTTCACAAGTAAGGTAAACATACCCTTCTCAATCATTGAAGGAACGGCGGGCCAAGACTTATCTCCAAGATTGCTGAAGCGCCCAAATGAAATCAGCGGAATTTTCCTTCTAGTGTCGTATACTGTTGTGTAGAAAGGCTTGTTTCCAAATATGTGAGCAAATTCAGTATCGTCTGCAAATCTCTGACAGATGAAATACTTATCTTTTAGAGGAAGTGCAACTGGAAGAGATTCGCCCAAGAGGAATTTTTTCCAACACTTCTTCTTAAAGTCTCCACGGTCCTTTAGACCCTTTCTTTTCTTTTTTTCACAGACCTTTGGTTTGCTGCAGAAGTTTTTGAGATGATGATTGCATCTCTGATTTGCAGATACAAAAGGAATAAATATGCCTCTGTGGGCACACCAAACGACGGAATCCCCTTTATTTAACAGTTGGTCAAGGGTCCAATTTGTATGGACAAATTTGGACTCAGCGGTGTCATACAGAGAGAACATGCAGTCATAATCTGCAAGTGAGAATAACATATGATATTAAAAAAAATTAAGCAATACATTATGCATTCTTTTTTTTGCCAAATAAATAATTAAAACTCCAGTTTGCTATCTCCCACTGGAAATTTGTCTACCTCAAAAGTAAATTTATTGATTAAATGCATGATGCAGTTATTTCTACGGGAAAAATAAAAAAAATGAACGATTGGCAACATATGAGTCAAGTGTCTGAAACGAATGAAATTACTACCCCCATTGTGTCATGTAAAGATTATCAATGATTTAACGATTTTATGCTGGTTTTTTTTTTTGGCCTTTGCGCAAAACACGGTGCTACATTTTGCTGAGTTGTCAAATTCCATGCTTAAGATTCAGTCTCGAGGTTAATTTGGTTCTTAGTGGAATCACGTATTTCATCAGAAAAAGGATTTATTACAATCCACATCGGAAATATTAAATATGCCCTTTGTTTGACTTGAAAGACTTGCGACATACACGATGCTAACAAGAATGTTAGAAGATAAAAATAGGATGAATCTGTGAAAAGAAAACTTCCCGTTGTCCTTTGCTATCTAAATTACATTTTGTATCACGAATTGTTGCTGGGTATGCCAAATTAAGAACAATCTAGAAGTCGTCCATGGAGGAATGAGTGGGTGCACAGCACAGAACAAAATTATAACAAAATAGATGACATAATGCATGGCTTTGTTAGTCGATAAATCCTATATTCGTTCAGTATTCCTGTCAAGGAACACCTCCTCAGTATTTGGAAATTACAACCAAGGAAAACATAAGAAGAAGAATAATCTTTAAAATCTATCTTAATAACTTGTATGAATAAAAGTCACTTTCACTTGAATATTGAAAAAAATGTATTAAAGTTAAAGTCAAATTTAGAAAATGAAGGGATAAAAGAACTATAAATGGTTTCTATTTCTGATTAATCTTTGTTTTAGAAGATTCAGTGCCGTATGATTCCCCCTAATAGTAGCACGTACTCATAAGTTGGATTTGAATTCGAAATGCTTTCACCCATTGAAAACGTACTGAACATATCCTACATCTGATACACACCACAGGGACTGTTTACAATTGGAAAACCTCTCTCACTGTGGTTTTTACTCTTCATTAAATTCTAGATTCCTGTATGATCAATGGTACATTAGTGAAATATAAAAAATATTTCTCTTTATGGCAGATGTGGGATTCTTCTGTGGAAAACAAATTACTGCGAGAAATGGATAAAACATTATCTCTCCGTATTTTCAAAGTTTTTTTCCCTCTTGAACCAATCATAAAAGAAAGGATTTACACCAAAAAATATTTAAAAATAAAGTATTTTTAAGGATTCATAGCTGTGTATTTTATGCACAATAAAATCAATATCTTCCTTACGTTGATGCAGGAAACCTAGGAAAAAGCGAGTGTGTGTAAAAATTAAAACATCAGATAAATTCATGAGTCATACTTCTCTATATTTCATCGATATAAAGCAATTTCCAAGATCATCAAAGTCCCATCAGAGCGGTTAAATCATTACATAGTTAAGAATAAACAATAGAGAAATCTGCAAATGGTTACGTAACGTTGGAAAGTTTAACAAATCGCACTAAAAAATACTCACCTTCATTTTTTAATCTTGGGAGCAATATATCTGAAAGTAATATAAAATTCCTCTTAATATAAGTATTGTATTTGCTCTTAAATCTAAATTATCGAACACTCATATTAATGTAAAGTCAAATTACGTTTAGCGGATTTTAGATACATGTAATTCATTTTCAAATCATATGTATCTAACTCTATTCTCAGTGTATGATATATTGTACGGAGCCACATCGCAGTAAAAAAGGAAACCTTTGACAGAGGTCAAAGGATTTGTAGATAGATTAATCCCAGTTTACCTAGTTTTGTGTAATCGGCAACGTCGCTTCCTTCGCATTTATGCTCCTTTCTAGGAATGGTCTTTCCTAGCGTAGACTGACAATAACCTACTTGACGACTTCTACACTTCCTCTCCTCAATCGACTTCCCGTCACATCCTGGACTTCCGGTTTCATGGGAAAGACAAACCCGGAAACGGAACTCAGTGGGACCAGACTTTATCCACATCGACCATGGACTCCACTTTGGGACTAGATACAAGTACATACATTTATCATGAGGCAGTCAAAGAATCATTTCATAAAATAAAATATATTAGGATTATGAGCATTTGTTTTCTTTGTCCAATCTATTTTTTGAATAATATTGTCTTTTCAGGGTTCATCGTTGCAAAGCTATATAATTTGCAGAACTGTTGCCAATGCAGGTAAAATCATTTTACAATTCCTCAATGCAGGGATTTCATGACCATGTAGAGTGAATGTAGGCTTCAAACAATGAATTATAATGTCTCTCAATGCACTCATCGGCCGACTCCATTGTGTATTGCCTGAACCCAAAGTCTTTCAATGCAGGCATTGTCTATCAGCGCTGTCAATCAATGCAGGCATTTGACAACTCCACAATTTGTCAATGCAGATATTGGCTAACTTCACAGTCAGCTAATGCAGACATTGGTCGACTCCACAGTCAGTCAATGCATAGAGAGTCGTGCAATGCCTGCACTGGCCATTGAGAGAGTCTCCCAATGCTGCAATGGCTCTTCGGAGAGTCCTCAAATGCATGTATGGCCTTTGGGAGAGTCTCATCCCCTGCAGTGGTTCTTGAGAGAGTCTGGCAATGCCGGCAATGGCAGTTAAAAGAGTCGGACAATGCCTGCATTGGCCAACGATGAACAAAATCTCTTAATAGATGGTCATAAAATTCTTGCATTAACTTCACTATAAAAAGATTTTCAAAGAGTTTTAGACACTGATGATTCTTAGCGGGAATTAAAATAATTTTCCTTTCCTACATTTATTTATCGCCAAATTTCATTAGTCAATTACAACAATTTTAATTGCATATGTGATTTAGAAGAAAAAAATCAGAATGAGAAAAAAAATGCAAGAAATTGAATAGACACTTTGTCGAGGATTCCATAAATACTTTTATCGTGTGATTTTGGAAATAAGTAAATTAGTTTATAACATTTGTTTCGGGCTACTTTTGTTATCTTAAACAATTGTCTTTGTAAATTTGTTAAATTTCATTCGTTTTAGTAATAGAAGCAAAAATTTCTTTCCTAAACATCAAAACATTGATCTTAAAATAAAAAATTAATAATTCGGACCAAAAAATAGTTTGGAGTCCCTTATATATTATACAATATTTGCACATTTTATGCGGTCTTTTTTACAATTTAGTTATTTTGTTTTTTTTTTCCAAACATATTGAATTTGTTAGAAATATGTTCTTTCAGTTTTCAATTTTATATTCAACTTAAAAATGGTTTAATTTGATATCAATTCGACATTATACTTGCCAGCTGAAATTCTGATTTTGTAACAAAAGATAAATTGCGACGCATTTTGAGTAAAATACATATATTAATTTATATTCGTATTTGTGCAGATATTCACTATGAATATCCTAAAGTGACCAGCTGAAAATTATGTCATTGACAGAAATCATTTGCACAGAAAAAAAACTCTGGTGTTAAAAAGCACATAGTAATTTTGATTTACAAACCTGGAAACAGCGGGCACATCTCTAGAGTTTCTTGCTCACCTGTAACGAAAATATTAATATTTATGTTTCTAAACATTTTTAAATATATATTAAGTTTTTGTGTATTTGGAAGTGTAATATTCAGAAAATAATTTCACATTCAGTATAAAGTCCTTAATTTAAGACGTTATTAATGTAAGTCTCAATGAGTACTGCTCACTAAATGTAGTGGCAAGAAATACATCTTTATTAATAGTAATTTGTATCGTAATTGAATCTCTGAAACTGAGAGATACAAACGTACAGCTAGTCTGTTTAACTATAGAGATGTTTTTCTGTTGTTTGCAGCTCTCCATCTCCAGCTGACAAGAGCCCCGGTATGTCATGCCGTCAGATCCACAGACCTCTGCACCTTCTTCGTCTGCGCATGTGCCAACTGGACAGATGCATTCAAAGTTAAGTGGTTCTTTTTCAGTACATTTTGCACCATATTTACAAGCAAGAGCTTCACAAATTCTGTCACCTGCAACAAAAAATCCAAAAAGAGTCATCAATTTATGTACTCAAGACAAAAAAATAATGTTGGGAACAAATAATTAATTAAACGCTATATTCTGTGCATCACACAGTCTTCTCTTGTGTATGAATAAAACCAATCTTAACATGCATCAATCAATTTGTTAAATATACAGAATTTGTTGATAAAAAATATTATTCTCATCAGAATTATACACAATTATAGTTTAGCATTGTTGAATTATGGCCCGTGAATTAAGATTACAAAACAAACGAAGAAACAACTAAAAACAGCTTTTTGCAATAATTACTTCCAATACTATGTGCTTTATGATTTTTTTTGCATGATTTCGTCAGATTTATGGCGGCTGAATTGTTAAATAATTAGCTATGTCTGTAATGTTGATGATAATTCATACTTTGTTCCTTCTTTGTTTCCTCTGGTCGTTTAGGATTTTTCCCAGTTTCTTTAATCTTCTCAGCCAGTATATTGGAGGCTGACTTTTTATCTAAAAATAGAGAAAACTTTGTTAGTCATCACTGTCAACAGAATCTTTAATTCTTTGTAAAATTTTATTGTCTATGACACATTAAAATATGAACATTTCTAATTACCAAATAGGTAATTACGTGTATATGTAATTGTAAGGTAGGTATATGTAAATAAATATGCAAGTATGAATTTATAACAATGACATATGCTTTAGTATTATAGATAATAATTCCCCGGTGGTGAGATAGTTTCACAAAGTAGCAACTAAAGTTTCCTGAAAAGACGGAAGGCAAGACTTGTCTTTCTGTAAGCACTGTCAAGCTTTTGTGTTTAAAATACATAAAACATTACATATCATTTAAATGTAGAGTGAACTTCAAATGTTTGAACTTTTTATACTAAAAGGAATATATCGTTTATACGTTGATTAGTGTTTTACCTTCGTTTGTGTTTTGTTCTTTGTCGTCATCAGATACTAGGGTAATAACGTTATTTCCATAAACCAATACTGCAAAAAGAAGATAAGAATACTGCAGACTTAAGCCTTCTATATCTCAGATTAATCTCCTTTGATAGGGCAGTAGTACATACATCAATATAATCCAAACTTTGAAAATTGCCACCTAATCATTTTCGCCAAATATTCTCTTCACCTTGAGAAACACAATGAAAAATTGCTCAAAAGATAACTTTTTTTCAAATATTAATCCACAATCTGAGAAATTCAGTTAAATTGCCTGCTTTCTGTACGTTGATATTTTGCTGCCAATTTTCTATATTGAAATGTATTTTTGATATTTCCGCTCTATATTGAATGAATTCATTTTCACGTCAAATCAAGGAAGAAAGGAAAAATGGTCAGCGGTGAAGAGATTAATATCTTTTGGTAAGGATATTTTAACACCTTAAGCCATTTTCCGGAGCTGGTATTGATTAAACTTTCTATGACTGTAATTAACTTCGTCAGGGAAAAATGGTTTTTTTCTGATTGATTTGATCAGGCAATATTCCACTTTTTAAAAAATTAATTGTTATAACCTGTACGCTACCGTAACCTTTATAAATTACTTTTACGATAAACTGATTTAGTGTCTAGAGGGTTCGGTTAAAAAAAGTTTCAACAGTTATCCAACACGACAAAAGGAAGGTGTAATTTACAATTTGAACGATAAATAATCAAATCAATAATGGTTTTCAATCGAAAGGAGAAAGTTTTAGCCTTAAATAATGTTTAATAAATGAAAATGGTACATAAGCTGTTTTTTAACAAATAATTATTTTTCTTTGAACAAAGAAATCTTTTTATCAATACCATTAAATTAACATCATCGCATGCGAGCGAGAACAAAACATTGTTATTTCAATTTGTACAAATTATTGTGAAATGGCGACGAGTGCATTTCTTTTCTCGTTTGATACCCGCTATTACAAAATGGGCTTGAAAGTCGGTTTGCATTTCTTAGTTTTAATTTAGTTTTTATTTAAGTATTTGCTTCTTATATATATATAAAGATAATTTTACCTTTTGTGTTGTTATCTGAAACATCTTTTAGAAGTTTTGAGCCTTTTTCTTGAATGATAATTTCTGAAATGAAAAAAAAGAAGAAAATAAAACCACTTTTAGGGCAAATTAATGTCAGTTCACAACATTCTTCAGAATTAGAAAAAGAATGGACATTTTAGGAAGCACAATGCTGTAATATTTTGTCTTCATTCCATGAAGTTTCAAAAATTTCATTTCATGAAATTTATGCCCAAATATTTTTATATTTTACTTTTACAAATTCTCTCTAAAAATCATTTTCAGGACACTACATTGACCCTTTCCTTAGAAAGAAGAGGAAAAACATAGTAAAAGCACTAAAACATGATTTTTTTAAACCAGTAATTTTCTATAAAAGTTTCATCTAAAATAATTTAACAATAGAAAAATACTTATTATACACTAACAAAAATCAAAATCTGATCAAAATCAGCTGTTCTGATACACTATACATCTAAATGAAAGTGAAACCGAACTTAATAAGAAAGTTGTTTTAAAAAATGATTAGTTAAAAGATGCGTATCGATAAAAACATGATTAGATTGAATGTCAATTTTCTTGGTTCTCATTAAAATCAACGTTAAAAAAATCCCACAGAAAACGGGTTTTGCAATAATTGCCTAGCCATTAAAATATACTTATGCAGTAACACTGCAGACTGACTTTATCACTGTATCATCAATTAAGAGTTAGACTAAGGGTTTATTTTACATGTGACCGGGCAATTACACCGTCTACAAACAGTAGCTAATTGCGAGAGACCGGGTGAATTAATTTTGTCGTTTTATCAGCATCCATATTGCTGGAACTGCCAACCAAGTCATCACCTTATATGGAATCAGGTGTCAAAGACACCATTAACTTAGGATCAAGTCGCTTTACATCCGAGGTACAAAGACAATAGTAATTTGTAAACATCAATCAACATCTTTTACGAGAGTGTTTGTCGTGGTTCTCCGAAGCCAAGTAATTTATTATTAATAATGCCGTTTCTGGGAACTGTTATTTTATTTAGATATGCACAAGTATTAATGTGATTTATGATTAAATTTATTCTGAATTGCGGAGAGAGAGAGAGAGAGAGAGAGAGAGATACAACACTAGGAATACTGTGAACACAATACTTCATTAGGGTATTCAAAATTTAAATGAAATAGCATACTAACTGTTAATAAAAAGAAAAAGAAAACGTGTCTCAAATGACATATTTGGCTGCTTTCTGATTTCCAGTGCAAACTATTTTTATGCAGTAAACCTATTTTAATATTTATGACCTCCTACATTTCCTTGTATGAAATAGAAAAAAAAAAAATCCGGAAATTACGTTGAGAATACCATTTCGTAAGAGGAGCGTTTTTACCTTTGATTTTTCTATCGTCCATGGTTGACATTGGCGCAGGTGTTTCCATAACCACAGGACCTGAAAAATGACATAAATTCTATACATAAAATGCATTTAATTATTGATTTTAACATTGACTGTATTTATATAATCACGTATGAAAAAAAAACCTCGATATTTCTTGATCTATCATTTCAACTAAAATGAATGACGCATAGAGCTTTGTATCAATTTAACGTCGCCCTACATACTCAACTTCGAAAAATGTTTCATTAAAACTTGATGAGTTTTTATTGTACAGCAAGGTTACCTCCTCCTAAAAAATATTATTGAGAACTTTCCCCGATTTTTTTTTTTTTTTTTTTTTGGACAAGTGTTTTTTTTTAAAAAAAAAAACACACACAGACTGGAAAAAAATTCTGTCAATAATTCGAGTTATCTATATAACACAAGAACAATTCGGAATATTATGCTGTGAGATATCAGAACCCATAGTTATATCAAAAATGATAAAAGAAAACAACTATATAGTGTATTTTCATTGCCAATAGGCCTCTGTAAAGCCTATTTCTGAATATTCATGAGAATCTTTAAATGACAACGACATACTGGTTCCCAAGACAGAACAACAAATATGTTGAATAGATTAAAAAAAAAACACCGCCGGTCCCCCTACTCCAAACGACAATAATGCTTTTTTTTTTTATTAATGTTTAACGTCCCGCTCGAGAATTTTTCACTCATATGGAGACGCCACCACTTGCCGGTGGAGAGCTGCAAATTTTGACCTATACTCGGCACTTAGGGCCATTGAGCAGTGAGGGATCTTTTTCGTGCCAGCACCTACTGCCATACGGGACCTCGGTTTATACGGTCTCTGCCATACGGGACCTCGGTTTATACGGTCTCTGCCATACGGGACCTCGGTTTATACGGTCTCATCCGAAGGACCGGTCTCCACATCCCACAGTGGGATTCGAACCCGCGACGTAAGGATCAACTCCTTACTCCGCGACTCTAGAGCGAACGCTCTAACCACTGCGCCACGCGGGCGACAATAATAATGCTTAGCCATATAATTAAGAAAACGTTGTTGAATCCGATAAAACAAAAATTATCTAAACATATGATCAAACAATCGGCGCAGATAGAAATATGAACCAGAAGTCTCTGACGAGACTGTAGCTCTACTGGTTGTGCTCATAAAGGAAGATTAAATTAGCACTTGGACTTGAAACTTTGCAACAGCAATAATTAGAATAATGATCCTTTGTTTAGTCTCTTTTTGTGGCAAGATTTATTGCAATCAGACTAAAACTGTAGGAGTAGTAGCCTTTTAAAACAATTTTACAGACATTTCGATTTAAGTAACCATGGCAACATCATTCAACAAAATCAAAAAACAATAACGGCAATTATGTATCTCAGTGTAGTCTACTTGAATGCCAAGTTATACTGAAATCAGAGAAAAGGTGTAGGAGGAGTAGCGTTTTGACAGTATTTCAAGAAAATTTCTATTTTTAGTAACCATGGCATCACTCTTCATTGAAATCCAAAACTGGTAGAGAGAATTATGTATCTTAGTGTAGTCTACTTGTGTGCGAAGATATACTGAAATCAGACCAAAACTGTATGAGGAGTAGCATTTTGAATGTATTTCAAGGAAAATTTTATTTTTAGTAACCATGGCAATACCGTTCATCGAAATCAAAAACCGATACAAAGAATTATGTATCTTAGTGTAGTCTACTTGTGTGCCAAGTTATACTGAAATCAAATCAAAACTGTAGGAGGAGTAGCGTTTTGAAAGTATTTCACAAAAATTTCTATTTTTAGTAACCATGGCAACACCTTTCATTGAAATCAAAAACCGATATACAGAATAATTTTATGTATCTTATTATAGTCTACTTGTGTGTCAAGTTATTATATTGAAATCAGACCAAAACTGTAGGAAGAGTAGTGTTTTCAAAGTATTTCCCAGAAATCCCTTTTTAGTAACCATGGCAACACCGCTCAACAGAATCAAAAACCGATACACAGAATTATGTTTCCAAGTGTAGTTTACTTGTGTGCCAAGTTATATTGAAATCAGACCAAAACTGTAGGAGGAGTAGCGGTTTGAAAATTTGTTTACAGACGAACAGACAGACGGACGGACGACGGACACTATTACTATCGCATAAGCTCTTCTGATCTCTGACCAGTAGAGCTAAAAAGCAACTCTTTGACAATATACATGGAATCATTGACATAATTGTAATAATTTAAAATGTCATATAGATAGTACGGAAGAGATCAAACTGGTAAATAACGATAACTTTACGACAAAAATGAACTAATTTTTATTAAAAAAAAAAGTGTTACAAAGTAAGTCAAGTGCTTATAGAGTTCTGCAGACCCTATAGTTCCATGTTTTCTGCAATAAAGTCCAACAAATTACAGCCAAGACTTATCTTAATTGTACCATAGTAGTTTTATAACAGCTAGCTATTGAAATAGTTTAATCTGTCGTATGATAAAAAAGGAACAGATATTTTCAGTGAACACAGGTATTCTAGACTGTTATCACTGACAACAGATTAGAAAACTTCAACATCAAACCACGTGATGTTTTTAATCATAAAGTGAAAGCTTGAGAAAACTATCGTAAAATTTATGATTCAGAAGAGAAGAAATGATTGTCGTCGGTATCGAAGACAGGTAGAACAACGATAAAATGTATAATAAGAAGAAGGAAATATATGTACTTGCTACACAGATGATTTTCCAGCTCGAAATAAATGTTTAGTTTATGTACTAGAAGAGACAGTTGAATTACATTGGTGTAGGAAATAGACAAAGGAAAATAAAGCACGCAAAAAAGCAAAAACATCGCACTTAATTACATTAAAAGCTTAAAGTTCAATCTACTGAAAAGTTCATGTGTTAGAAAGTATAAGACAACACAAGTCTAGAAAACCAGACTAGAAGACTGAATTTTAAAACAGCAACACGAAATGAAAGGCAAAAGTGGCTACAAAAGCAATATTTTACAGAGGAGTATTCGGGTTCAGAAAAAAGTTTATTTTACAAGTGAAATTTATGTACTGCACTGGCAGAAAAGATTGATAACATCTGTCTAGATGTAAAAGAAGCATTAAATGAATGTGTATCTGGTAAAAGGAAAACCGTGAACGAAAGATCGATGACACGAGAGTAAAATACGTCGAAAGAAATAAAGCAAAGAAGTCAGAAACGCACGCAACAGCAAGAATATAAAAAAGTAGAGCAATTCATAAAAGAGAAAAACAAGGAAATATTGTAAAGATTTATGAAAAAATGGAACATGACATTCCATAAAATCAATCAAGTTTGAATTGGAAAATAAAACAGTTAGTACCCGTTACGAATAAGACAGTGAAATTGAAATAAAAGAATACGTACAAACATTTGGATTAAAAAAACAATCGCATTATCTAAATACGGAATACTGCATACCAGCAAGTCAGTAATGATTGCAATATTCAAGATGAAATTGATTTTAGGAATTGTATGATAAATAAAACAGAAGGAACATAAGATATGATTATAGAAGGTTTTTGATTGCAAGGAATACATCACTACACTTCTTGCAATTTCTGAAAAAGCACCAACTAGAACTTTAAAAACTGTTTTCATTATTCAAATCATACTCTCTCTTCTTATTTCCTATGAACAGAGGTTGTGAGAACACGTTGCATTATTGCCTACATAAATGCTATACATGAATTTTCTAAACCAAAAAAAATTATATACCAATCATAACTGCAGAATGATAGATCTAAATTAACTGTTTCTGCAGTAACAAAAGACTACACTTCTTTGTGTTAAGCGACATACACCAATGCACAAACATAGATGAGTCAGAGGAAAAGGGAATCAGTTGGAGATATTTGAAAAAAGAAATCAAAGTATTGAGACACCAATCATGGAATCGAACACCACACAAGCAAAGGACAGAAAGAAATGTGAAGATCTTAATCTTGTAAACGATAACATTCTCAATAAGGTGAACAGCTACTTATTACCCAAAATGAATCACTTCCACATTTCTTTAAATTTAATAAGAATTATTTAGCTATGTACTGTTGTTTAATTATAGTTTATTTTGCAACTTTTCGTATACTTTGTAGAAAATTGAAACTTCATCCACATCATAAACTATTTAGAGTATCTGCGCTGAACTGAATCCACTTTATATGACTTCAGCTTTTCCATCGTCAACTTTCCTTTTATGTAGTAATATTCCACTATCACCTGCATATGGTGTTTATGTCTCCCAATTTATTCGATAGTCAAGAGCATGCTCCGAATACGATAAATTTGAAACCGACACAGGCTACTGAAAAATAGGTTGATGTGACAGGGATTTCAACAACCTCGTTTAAAGTCAGCATTTCGTAAATTCTACTGTCGTTATAATGACCTTGTTAACAAATACAACCTATCATTGGGTCGTATTTTGACTGGCACGTTTCATACCAATTGTTAGGCCTTTCTTTTTATACCATATTTGACTAGGGATTATTCCGTGTACCTGGTCAATACATATGGCTCACGGCGGGTAACCTGTCGATAGGGAATGCTTATTCCTCCAAGGCACCTGATCCCACCTCTGACATTTTCAGGGGTCCGTGTTTTATGCCCTGTTCAAAGATTTGTATTGTTTGTAGGATTTTTGAGATCGATCACTGTTCGTTTCCTTCACCTATTTCACGTTTGTTTAAATGGTTTATCGAGGCCGAGTCTAATTCGAGTGCGCATGACGTTGCGCAGCTTTCTAATTTCATGCAGTCATATGTGCGATATTACACCTTTCCTAAATATTGTGATTTTAATACAAAATTAATACATTATCTGTAACGCCTATGGGTCTGAAATTGTGCTTTTACGAAAAAACCACTGAAATGGCTCTAACGACGTCACTGTTTTCCGATTTTGCAAGCAATGCATGACGCTGAAGAATGTCACATGACTGGCTTGTATATTCAAGACGTCCATGGATATTTTACTAAAATTGTTGACAGAACATCAAAATAAACATACTAGCAATCTAAACATTGCTATTTTTACCAAAATAATTCATCTGCTCCGATAATTCATCTGCACCGATATATGCATATACCGCAATATTGCAATTTTAGAGGTATTGGGCATTGAAAAAATAAACTTTGTAACAAATCCTAAAACAACCTAGGTGGTCAACCTTTTTGAAATTTCACAGTTTGGTGACTTTTTACAATAATTTTCATGTACTCGGCTGAAAAAGAAATTTCTAGGGCAGAAATACAAAAAATATGGAAAAAATGTGATGATTTGGCGCTTTTCCAACAAATTCCCATAAGGGTCCAATAGTAAAATTTGACAACTTTTGAGATGGCCCCATAAGAAATCAGGACGGTAAACATTCGATTTTTTAATCTTAAAACAATAAATATAATAGTAAAAATTAATTCAAGAAAATTTATCAAAATCTCTAGGGTAGAAATAATTAGACTCGGCCTCGTTAAGTAGTTAATTCATTCCATCATTTACTGCTTTTATATGATCATCAATTTCATCATGATTTGGCAATGCATGTGAAACTGTTAAGTTGATGCGTCAATCTAATGTTCTCATTTATAAAAAAAATGTAATGTCATAACGAGATCTGATTTTCCAAGGCAATACTGCAATCATTTAAGAATATTCATATGAAGTATCGATCTTGTTACTCGGATACAATGCTATTAAAAGGAAAACTGAAATTCCATTGGATAAAAAATTGGTCTGTTCTTGTCATTGGATTCATGTAAATATTGCCGATTAATAAGGTTTTACATTTGGCGAATCATTTATTTTTCTGCAATCTTAATGAAGAGGAAATTCATATTTGTATTAAAAATTGTATCATACATCAAATTAACGGAGGAATTGACCGAATATATAAAATCTTTTCCGTGACCATTAAGTAAAAAGTCCTGTAGGCAAAGTTCAGTAGGTTTAATCACAGTTAAAAATTGCTATCATTTGTATGAAAAAAAAATATTGCAAGGTCATGGGTATGTAAGTACTGTATGAATTTTGTGTTCCAATGAAAATGACACTAAACCGTTCTAAATTAGACTTCACGCAATGCAACACTGAGCGGGGTATCGATATTTTGTTAAAGAAAAAAAAACATGTAAACTAAATGCTTCTTAATTTAAGACTAGTGCAGCTTAGAAATTAGATGGATATTCTAAAGAACAGCAACCTGGGTATTGTGTTGGATGTAATGTTGTGGTTTCTATTTTAACTTCACTAGCCCCAGAACCGGAACCATCGATGACGTCACTATCATCTCCGTCATCATCATCGTCTCTCTCTATAGTAACAGCAGGTTTAGGTCTTGGCTTGGAATGATGAAGTGAACCTTCATCAATATTAATTAAATCCGGATGATGGTCATTGCCTGTAAAGAGAAACCAAAAAAGTTCAATTAATCAGTATCTGTGTACACCTGATATTTCTTTGATCTTCTGAGGAGTAGTAGATATGTTTATAAGTGATGAGTAGCATGATAGGGTGCATAACAATTAAATTAATTATCAATAAAGACTTCCAAAGAATATTGTTTCCTAAAAAACAATTACAGACTAGTTGCTAAGACTTGCACGAACTAATCGATTTCCAGTAATGATGTACACTGTGTGATCAATGACGACAACATGTCTGGATTGGAGAATTCCGGAATGAAATTTAACGAACTACATCTTACGCCACAGGACATGATAAATACAAATTTGTTCAAGTGGACACCCTTATAAATTATCTAGCTATAGGATATCAGATTTCTATTACTATATTGTGTCTTCTCTTTAGCCTAGAGAATATATAACCAGTCTCTTGCTGAAAATAATCAGATGGAGATGAGTCATCGTGTTCGAACACGAAACGAACTCATTTCATATGGAAGGGTTCTCTCTTTTCTATAACTTATCGCCGTTTACGATTATCTTGGGGCTTATTCTCCCATTATAAGCAGGCAAAAAAGAATCAATGCAGAAAAGCTGGGATGAATTTCGAATACAGAGCAGTTGCTTTATGATATAGAAAAGAATATTGAATAAGGACTATCAGTTTGGATAAGTAACATACAATTTCTCGTAAAACCTAAGGTCAATGAACCAATGTGCATAATTCAGAAAAAAATATGATAAAACTGATACCGCAACAAACTTATTTACTTTTAATAATTTTACGCTTGTTAACTCAAGGCATAAATAATGGATGTTTTAATGCATGTGCGATAGAAGGATATCTAACTGGAAAAAAAAATAATTATCAATTTGAATTTGCTGCATGATTTCCACAATTTTAATCTTCATGCATGGTTCTAGTTAATTGTTATAGAACAAATGTTGTGATAAAAATTAATAAAAGATAGTATCTTTTGATCCATTAGTTCATCTCCTTATTGCACCCCACCAACAAACATACATACAAACATACATACAAACAAACATACATACATATACAAGCAAAACAATCATAGAAATAGACAAGGTAACATTAAAAGTATGTCTATCTAATCTGCTTTTCTCATAATTTGTTCATATTGCAATTTTTATAATTTTTTGTTTGTTTGTTACTTCTTTGAGGGAGAGGGAAAATCAGAGGGAAAAATATATAAAAAGTTTAAAAAGAATTAAATAAATAAAATACTTTTAATAATTTAGCTTAAGGAATTGTCTTCATACTAGCATGCAAGATGCAAGTAAAACAAACATTTAAACCTGTTTGCACAAATCTTTTTTCATAAATCATCGATAAAAAAAGAACTTGAAAGAAAAGTATTTTAAAACAATAAATGTTATAAACAATCATTTAGTTGAAGTTTAACTTTCTTAAAAGCAAGTCCGTTCTTAATATCCTTAGATTTTCCGTAAGAATAATAAATTCAATTAAAAAAGTTTTATTTAGAAATGGAGAAAAAAAAAACCCCAAAGAAGAATTAATCGTTCGAAAAATGATTGACATTTCTAACTATAACAATACCCGCATATCTTTTTAACCTCTGAAGTTCTTCTTTTTAATAACCTTACTGCCATTTTGCTTTAAACCGTTTTGTTTTGAGTTTTAGTATTAAAATTATTTGAACTTTGTCCAAATGTTATTCCTATTCATTCCTTTTTGCGTAGATCTTATGTACAATCAGATTCAAAATGATTGTCGAAGCAAAACGTCATAACGACGTCAGCACATTCTTGCCGTGCGGCGATAGACGAGACCCAATGTTGTGTTTATTTGATAATTTATAAGTATTGTATACATGTATATCTGAATGAAATTTTAGAGCAAAATTCAAAGAAGATAGAGGCATAGGTATATAAAGTTTTGTTGGAAACTTTCAATTATTAAAAATTTTATAGCAGTTTGTGAGATAACTTTTGGATCAATCCTCGTTGTTCAATCGATTTTTGTTACATTGTACCTAAATATAAAAACACATGTTTATTTCAAAGCAGTTTAAATAATACGAAATCAAACATCATTAGATATCCTTACAACAGGTTTATAAAAAAGATTACATATCATCTGCTGATTCATTTATTGTCAATCATGATATATTGGTTCCATCAATAGGATGATAAGAATTCTGTGGGGAATTCAATCATTTCAGACGTATCGATTCAGAATGACTCATTCCAGTCATTTGTATTTAAAGATTTACGAGTCAAATTCAATACATGTATATTATCTTAAAAGTGGTGCAAATTTTATTGTGCTAACTGGGAAAAGGGAAATATAAGAAAATACTGAATATCGCATGAACTGCATAAACCAACATTTGAATCGTTTTTGAATTTCGTGGATAATTGTTCATGCAAGGTTTATTTGAACACATTGGATATCTAACGGCTGATCACACTATCAATGGCATTTAAATCAGAAAGATGATAAAGGGATAAAACGTGACTGTGGGTAAAGCTATGACATTTTGTTCACAGCCAACAATAAAGCAGTTTGGGATTGATTTGCCTCTGCTGAAATCCCAGAAGCACTTCCCGAGAGCCAGGATGTGGGCGAGTTGATATCGAGGCAATTATCATGCAATACCCCATGCATGCATGAAGAGTTCGTGTAGAATGTCTGTATCCCTACTTCACTTCTCTATATAAGGACAATTGATTGACATATATATTTTTAAATTTTAAACTACATGTATGTCAGAGTTCAACTATTAGCAACAAGTGTCAAGATGTTTTTATTTAGATATACAGATTGCGGAATGCAAACATTAAAAGGAAGAAGTGTAAGAATTCTAGGGATATTGTTAAATTGATTCAGGTGGAAGCACCTGACATTAAGAAGGAGCTTTAGAGTCATGATGTTATTCGACCGTTTGTGACTTCAGCAGTCCCATTCTTTTATTTCAAAGACCAAACCACCGTTCACGGTAGCTCAGTCGGTAGAGCGCTCGCTCCGTGATCGGAAGGTCGTTTGTTCGAATCACGGCCGCGACTGACCTAAGTCGATAAAAAAAATAGGTAGCAACTATTTCTTCGCCAAGCGCTCGGCACTTTGAAGTGAAAGTTGCGGGTCCTTCGGATGAGACCTTAAAAACCGAGGCCCCGTGTCACGGCAGGCGTTGGCACGATAAAGATCCCTCACTGCTCAATGGCCCTGAGTGCCGAGTATAGGTCAAAATTTGAAGCCATTCACCGGTATATGGTGACGTCTCTATATGAGTGAAAAATTCTCGAATGGGACGTAAAACAATATACAATCAATCAATCAATCAAAGACCAAACCTAGACAAAACGACAAAGAAATCTCTTAATCTGCTTTTTTCTCTTTTATATAAAAAATAAATAAATAGCTGAAAGTAGATATAAGCAAACCTCTTCAGCGTCATAACAAGTATTAGCTTTGGTGTTTTTTAAGTCCTCGTATTATCATTTTAATAATTTTATTAGAAATATCTTATTTTAATAACTTAATATTCTAATAACTATTATATTTCTTAGAGTTTCTTCTTTTTTTATTTTGATATTCAACGTTAAAGCAATCAGCGCTTGAATAAAAGACCTATATTCTGTTTTAAAAAATCACCAATGAGGCTGCAGTATATAATATAAAATCTAATTAAAGAGATTCTTCCAGTAGGTATCAAATCTTAGTATCACTTATTTCTGAAGGAATGTCGGACTTAACTGAATTATTAACGGAATAAAGGAAGATGTAACCTGTCAAGCAGAGGGGAAACAAGGAGTGATTTGCATAATCAATACTACTACACAGTCGTGAATGACTACTGAATTAAAAGTGTACGTCTCGTGGATGATCACTTAATCTCTATTTCCAATTCTGGTTACGACAAGCTGAAAAGCAGAAAGCAAGTCTGGATTGCTGCCAAAGGAAACAGTTGAACCAGAAACACAGTTTTTTGGAAACTAAGCAATTGGATTTGATAGTTTTTACTCCTAAGAACATCAAAGAAAGTTCTAGATCCCAAGACGAGAATCATGCACGCAATAGCAATAGTTTCGATATTTTTTAACGTTTATTATGCAAAATGGATTCATTTATTAACCGAAAAGTTTTTAATGCAGTCTGATTTTTTCTTTTTGTTTACCGACACTATACAGCAAGCAAAACGCATCACATCCCTGTCATATTTATGTAATAATCCAAAAAAAAAAAAAAAATAATAATAATAATAATTTTAAAAAAATAAAAACGTTGAAAATCCTTCACCACTTCACATTTATACGTTGTTAAATTTTGTTCCAAAACAATTTGATTGATTTTCATTTGACTCAAAATTTTGAGAAAAAAGGAAAAAAGGGGGTTAGATAAATCAAATATTGTAAGCAACACTGCTGAGCTAAATGTCTTTTTATTGGAAAATTGACTGGACGGACGTGATACTTCAGTATCTAAACAATATTATCCAAATACAGGATATGTGTTGAATAGTCTATGGCAAAAATTTGCTAGTAGGCATAGGGAGAGGTCTTATTTCTTGACCATAAAAGAGTCTTATGGAATTATTCTGAGAAAGTTTTTGTAAATTATCAGTATTGTAATTAAAATTTGGGAATATGAATTTTCTAAGCCACGTTCTTTTAATAATAGCTTTAAATACTTCCCTGAATTTTCCATTTTTAGTTCTCAAGATTCTCAAAAAGGCATAAACCTTTTCACATGCAAAATTTTCTTTTTGACATTAAAAATTAAGACTGAAAACTAGGTATTTATAAAGCTGATTTGGATAAGAATCTTATCTTTAATGTACATGCATATACCTTACATTTTTCAGAATACACTGTGCAAAATATTCTTCAAAGACAAATAAGTCTTATTGTTGGACAACACAAATATACTCCTATTTAAAAATGCAAAATCTACTTTGCATATAATTATGAGAAAACAAAACTTTTTCATCTTAAACATTTTTATGCTTTG